TAACCAACACACATGAGCAGTCTAACCACAAACCCGTACCTGCATCCTCATTAGACTGCTAACTGTATCAGGCAAACCCCTCATAGGCCAGGACCCAACATACAACACCATGGACAGTCCCCTGCGTGGTGCGCAGGCAGTGTCTGTAATAGTACCATGCGCCAGCCCAGGGGAGTGTGTGTCCAGCCGTGCGTCATTCTAACGCCCTGCCGGTGTCCATGCGCAAGGCTGCGGAGTTTTGAACCCGCAACCTCATACCACAATGCGCATTTCCAACCAGTGCTCTAACCACTGAGCTACATCAACTGCTTCTTCCTGTCATGCAAAAGTTATAAATGAACAAGTCGAGGCGCGCCGCGGCCCTGGCCCAGCAGATCCAGACATGTTTGTGTTTGCTTGTCTTTGCAATGTTTCCTTCCCGCATGGCAGGGAGATTCAACATGGATTCAAATGAGTGCACCATTACACGGCTCCAAGGAATGCCGTACTATGTGGTACCACGCAATACCATGCAGGCTGAGTAAGCTGCTTTGTGGGTACGCGGGACCATGTGGGAAATGCCATATCATGTGGCCCAGATGGTACCAAACACACACTCAACCTCCCTTTCCCCCCCACCACCCCAAAAAAAAGAACACAAAAACTGACATGCCCAACAAAAAAAAAAAACAGAAAAAAGAAACATGGCCAACATCAGGCACAATTCAGCCCTTGCCACCGGCATATTCGGGCTGAGGGATATACTGATACCAATGACCATGTGGGAAAGCCCATATCATGTGGCCCAAATGGTACCAAACACACAGTCCACCTCCCTCCCCCCCCCCCCCCCCAAAAAAAAAATAAATAATAATAATAATAAATAAAATACAGATGCGGCCACCAAAAAAAAAACATGGCCAACATCAGGCACAATTTTGCCACAGGCATATGCGGGCTGAGGGGTATAGTGTGTGGCATGGGCGACACCATGCGGGTTGGGTCGTACCACATGGGGCGGGTCATAGCATGTGGATCGTGGATGAGGTTGGGCTGGGTGGCACTATCTTGGCAGAGTGACTGGTATTATGCGGCGTGGGTGATACTAAGCAGGTTAGGTGGCACTATGTGGGGTGGATCATACTGTGCGGACTGGGTGTTACAATGTGGTCCAGGTGATACCACATGGGTTGGGTGGCACGATGTGGGGTGGGTCATATTATGTGGACTGGATGGCCATGTGTGGGCTGGCCGGTCCAGCGCGGGTTAGGTGGACGATGCTACGTGGGGTGGGTGGAGAACCGAGGAGAACTTGCCCCCAAGAGAAAGAGCAACCGTGTACTTTATGCCTTCAAAGCCGTATGGAATCGGACTCAGGTTCACTTATCAAAGTTGGAGCCTGCGTCAGTTTTTATTTTTATTTTTTAGCCCTATTGATTGCAAGTTGGGCATGGTCGCACAAGCAAACAGAATCGGAGAGCGTTTGGTGGGGAACAAAAAACCACAATCAATCTGCTTTGCTGCATCTCTCCCTAATACATTCAGATCCAGGATCCTCGAAAAAAAAAAAAAAAAAAAAAAAAAGAAGAAGAAGAAGAAGAAGAAGAAGATCCAGGCTCCCAGTCCATCTTCTTTGCCAGTCAGWTTGATTCAGATCCAGGGACTCAGTGCCGGTAGGATCTTTGCCAGTTCTTTTTGCCACATGGCAGCATTTCGTTTTTCATTTTTCGTTTTCTTCGCGAGGAAGGCGTGCCGCCTAAGGGATGAACCTGACCGCAATTACGTCCACAGAGAAGTCGAAAGAGTCCTAGGATGAACCTGACCACAATTACATCCACAGAGAAGTGGAAACAGTCGTCGTTTGAGTATGCCCTAACTTTCATTGAGGGCGAAATCACACTTAAAAACAGGATTGGATTTGATGCCTGAAAATCGACGTGATAGTGGATTGGTACAGAAATTCAGGATCGATCTGCTTTTCTGCATCTCTCACTAAAACCCATCCGGATTCAGGGGCTTAACCATCCTCTTTGCTAGTGGGTGGGACCTTGGCCTCTGGAAGGGGTCGAGGCTGGTTCACTGACAGTTCGGGTTTGTCTACATAAGCCAGTGCTGCACTTGTATTTGAATAACCATGGCCTGACGATTCGAGTACAACTCACCAAGATCGCGGACCACCCAAACAGCCAGAAACTCAAACAGGAAATGACCCAAAAGAAAAATCGGTAGAACTTACTAGAAACCGAGACAGCCAAAAGAGAACCGAACTACGAATGGGAAACGACAAAAAAACAGCAGAAACCAATACGGCCGACAAAGTACTGAACTATGAATGGGAAATGGCACTGCCTTGCTGCTCAAAATCCCGGTCCTCAAAACCTGGGTTAACGATTTTGGGAATACTGGGTATCTACGCAAAAGGACATTGTCTCCACGGTGCATTGGTTTAATGAAGGTGTGGCCCAGCTGAGAAATAGAATAAAAAAGTTCTCTATTGCCCATGCGTGTGAACCATACATGCAAGCGCACCTCGTGCGGGCAGTCCCCGACGTGCGGCGCACGCGCCCAACCGATCCCGTGCGGCGCACGACATGTGCGGGGAACAACCCGTCACCCCCCTCCGGAAAAAAAAAGAAGGCCGGGGCTCGAAACGGTGCGTTCGACACCCCCCGCCAAAATTATAAACGGGGTGAATTTTTTTTTTTGCAGGATTGCTGCCTCCCCTTGCTCCTCCCCTTCCTCCTCCTTCATGTCTCCTCCTCCCTTCTCCTTTTCGTTTCCTCCTTTTCGTCCTCCTCCTGCCCTTCCTCATCTTCCTTGTCTCCTCCTCCTCCTCGTACTTCGCCATCTTCCATGCCTCCTCGTCTCCTTACCTTCCTCATGTCCTCCCCTTCCTCTCCGTCCATGTCTTCTCCTCCTCCCACTCGTCCTCCTCCTTCATGTCTCCTCCTCCCTTCTCCTTTTCGTTTCCTCCTTTTCGTCCTCCTCCAGCCCTTCCTCATCTTCCTTGTCTCCTCCTCCTCCTCGTACTTCGCCATCTTCCATGCGTCCTCGTCTCCTTACCTTCCTCATGTCCTCCCCTTCCTCTCCGTCCATGTCTTCTCCTCCTCCCACTCGTCCTCCTCCCGCCCTTCCTCTTTCCCTCCGTCCATCTCTTTTCCTCCCCCATCTCTGCTCCTCCTCCTCCTCCTCATCCTCGCTATTCTCGTCGTCCTCCTCGGCCACATCCTCCTCCTCCTCTCCATGTCCCCCTCTACTCGCCATATCCCCAGCTTCCTGTCATACGCCCCCCCCCCCCCCCCCCCCCCCCCCCCCCCCCCCCCCCCCCCCCCCCGCCCCCCCCCCCCCCCCCATTCCCCAACTTCCCGTCAAACCCCCCCCCCCCCCCATCCCCCCTCCCAAAAAAATAAAAATAAAATAAATAACAATAAAAAACCTGCGCGATTCCGCACAGGCACCCCCTGCGCGGAACTCTGCATGAATGTGCGGCTCGTGCGGTTGCAAGAATGGTGTGAACGGAAGGCCAAACTGGACAATCTGATAAAGGAACTGGAGAACTGGGACAACAAACTCCAGACTGAGCTGCAGGATGATACGGCCTGCCACAGACTGCAAGCAGCGAGGGACCATTTGCAAACTTATCTCGACGCCCAGGCAGAGGCGTGGCGCATTCATGCACGAATACGTAGGCAAGACACGGAGGGGGCAACAACAGCAAAAACCTTTTTAAGAAAGGCCAAAGCCCGGGCTAGGCAGGCAGCTGTCCCCATGCTGCGCCACCCTTTGATGATACGGCATACCACAGACTGCAAGCAGCAAGGGACCATGGCGCGTTCATGCACGAATACGCACGCAAGACACGGAGGGGACAATGACAAAAAGCTTTTTTTGAAACGCCAAAGTCAGGGCTAGGTAGGCAGCCGTCCCAACAGCAGCGCCACCCTTCTGACCACTCTCAGCCGGACGCCACCAACGCATACACTATAGTGGACTATGCAGCCCAGTTTTACCAAAAATTATACGCGTTGGAATCTGGTCAATGGGGGGTACAGCATCTGGCTGAAGCCCGCTGACCATGATCCAACACATCCCGACAATGTTATCATCAACTCAACGACAACAACTAGAGGAGCCCCCAACTGTGGATGAATTACTGGAAGCCCGGAGGGAGATGGAAGATGAAAAAACCCCAGAATTGGACTCCTCTAAAGAATTCTGGCTCCAGTATTGGGAAACCTTCTAGGACAGCATTAAGGCTTATGTACATCCCGTCCAGAGGAAGGGGACCTTTGGAGGCCGGATCAGCCACGGGGTTACCACGTTGCTGTATGGAAAAGGGGAAAAAGTCGATGTCCGGAACTGCCGCCCAATCACACTCCTTCCCCTCCCGTATAAGATAGTCTCTAAGGCCCTGACTAACCGGCTGCTCCCGCACATGAACCGACTTATTTTTCAGGACCAGACCGGGTCCATGCCGACATAGGAATATTGGTAAACGAGACTATGAAGTACGCCCAGCAGCATCGAAAGGAAGCCGCGGTCCTGTTCACAGCTTTCGAGAAGGCCTACGACCATGTGGACTGGGACTTCCTGAACTGCTGACTGGACAAATAACTTTGGGGAGGGGTTTAGATCGTGGGTGTCTATTATGCATAGATCTGCTGCCACAAACATTACGGTTAATGGACACCTCTCCCTTCCTTTTGCACTGCGGCGTTCGGCGAGGCAAGGGGACCTGGTGGCCACCCTCCTTTTTGTGTTGGTCATGGAGGCATTGGAAGCAATGATACGAGCCAACCCGGCGATAAAACGCATTGGCATTCCGGAATTGCCCCCCCATGTGGTGCCTGTGACATCCCTCTTCGCTGACAATCTCATGGTCCTCATTCGAGCATTTGTCACTTCCCTTAAAGTGCTATGCCAGACAGAGCCACCTACGAGGACATATACAGTGGTAATGCATGGATGTGGGGCGAGGCCCCGGAGGGGAAGTGAGTCGGGGGAAAGGGAGAGGACAAAGAACTGCGGATATAGCCACCTAAAAGAGCATATATGTATGGTACTTATGGCATCTTCAGCTGATCCCATGTGGCAATCAAGGCAAAGCACCTCTAAACCAACCCAAGCCATCCAATCCCTTTCTCAGTCCCTTGCACCTTGAAATACGCCTTACAGAGGTCAAAACTATTCCCCTCCTCAGTCCACTGCCTGGGTGACCATAAAACACTCCCACATCCTTCCAACAACCATAGGGCCATAGGCAGGTTTGTATCAGAAGCAAGCTCTGATGAGCGCTAGGAGCACAGAAACATCCTCGTAGTGAGAGCATGGCAACTACCATAGAAACTGAGTCACAATGAAGTCACTGCAAAAAGAAAAATCCTCAAAGGGTACCAAAGGTGTCCTTTGAGACATCCCCATTAAGATTTAAAATTGGAAAACTTGGAAACACAGAAGATTGGCATGGCCTCTGCATAAGAATGGCATATGGATAATGAAGGTCACCCAATTAAAGGGAGTGGGAGGGGACATGGAAGCATGGGGTAACAGATGGAGATTTGAGTAGGATTGAGTTGGGCTGTACAAAGACAAATGTCTGATGTTTGCTTTCTGGCGGTTGGGAACGGAAAGAGGGGAAGGCTGCTCTAGCGCTAGCGCCCTGATGCCGACAGACCGGTAAGGCCCGGTCTTTCCGGCTAGACTAGCGCCAGGGGAGGTGAGCTCCTCGGCTGCTAGGCCTGCGCGCACGCCCGACAGATGTGCATGGCCCATGATTGCCACGGGGCATCTGTTGTTGGTGTCGTGGATGTTCGTGACGCACGGGCACTGAGGAGATGCGCCAGCAGTGAAGATTGACGACGGAACGCAACAGGGGTGCAGCCTTCTGGGTAAGCAATGGAGTTGGTGGAGGAGCTACTACGGGGAGCATTCCGATTGGACAAGATTCTTTTTGATAGCCACGACGACGTTTCACCTGCGGAGCATGATGATGGTGGGCAAGACGATGAAGACACCGTCAGCTATTTTGCAAATCTTTGTGCAGCGTGTGAGGATTGGGGCATTGGAAGTGAGATGAGCCATGAACCTGCTGTATGTGATAGTGGTGAGCATCAGGGGGGGTCAGGAGGGTGGAAGGATGCTCTGTTGGCGCCCCCTTATCAGGGTGGTGAGGGGGATTATGCCCCTGATGAGGAAGGCGAGTAGGAGGTGGAGGTGGGACTGATGGTGATGGCGACGGCAGCGACGACGACAACTGCGCTAACAGAGGAAACTACAGCAATGGTACTAACAACAACAACAACAACAACAACAACAACAACAACAACAACAACAACAACAACAATAGACAAAATTCTTCTTAACAGCCAAGACGACGTCTCGCCCGCGGAGTATGATGATGGTGGGGAAGATGATGAAGACGCGGTCAGATATTTTGCAAATCTTGGCACAGTGTGTGAGGATTGGGAATTTGGAAGTGAGATGAGCCGGATGGCGCCCCCTTATCAGGATGGCGTGTGGGAATATGGCCCTGATGAGGCAGGCGAGTGGGAGATGGAGGTGGGGCTGATGGCGACGGCGGCGGCAGCAGCGATGACTACTGCGCAAACAGAGGGAACTACAGCAACGATACCACCACCACCACCACCACCAACAACAACAACAACAACAACAACGAGACATGATATTCTTTTTGACAGCCAAGACAATGGTTCGCCTGCGGAGCATGATGATGGTGAAGAGGCAGGCGAGTGGGAGGTGGAGGTAAAGCTGATGGTGACGGCAGCGGCAGAAGCGACGACAACTGCGCAAACAGAGGGAACAACAGCATTGATACCGCTACCACCACCACCACCAATAACAACAACAGCAACAATAACAACAACAATAACAACAACAATAACAACAACAACAACAACAATAACAACTCCCCTCGCTGACGATGACTCCCAACCTCATCTGGGCATTGGAGATCACGGCGAGAGGGAATATGCCCGTGATGAGGCACGCGAGTGGGAGGTGGAGTTGGGGTTGATGGAAACGGCGGCAGCATTGGTGACGACAGCAGTGCACTCAGAAGCAACCACAGCAGAGACATCAACAACAACAACAATAACAACAGGGACAGACGTTGCTGGTGAGTTTGGGTTACTGGCACCTGCGGCAGAAGCGGGGACGGCAACAACAAAAACAGAAGTGCGGGCAATGATAAGGGCCGTTATAATGATAGCAGCGCAGTGGGGGGGAATCGCCGACATGATTGGGCTCGTGAGGCGGGGTCTGGGGGGGAAGGTGCGTTTTATCATTCCCCCCCCTCCCTACCTGGTGTTTTTATACGTTGATTCGTTTTTCTTCGTGTGGCACCGGGTGGGAGTTGGAAAGTTGATTTTTCCTCGTTGGTTTTGGATGGGGGTTGATGCCCCCCGTGCTGATTGGAGTTGCGTGGTCTGCAAGCTCAATCAAGAAGGGGGAGGGTCGCCCCTCGGGCGGGACGAGGATAGTTCAGGGTTTTGTTTGTGGCGTGTTCGTAGATTGCCTGTTGGGGTTTGATGATGATGATTCTTAACACAGATAGGTAGGTGATCATTTCTCCTTGCTCGTGGAGAAATCACCACCTCTGCTGTTATGCTTTTCGTTAGGATAGTACTTCATGGGCAGGAGGTCAATCCTTCCCTTGCGTAGGGAAGTAATCACTGCATCTGCTCTTTCTGGAGATATAGGTGAGATTCAAATATTTACAGAACGGATTGAATTTGATCTATGAATTTCCACACATCATTGTATAGGGCTCCTGGGTCCGTTTTTCCAGGCAACACACATCACATAATTGTTACGGCTTTGTCTGAGCTCGTATTGGAGATACTTTAGATTAGGTGGATACGGTTCTCTGATCAGTAGTAGATAAGGAGGGAGGTTGGGTACATAGGCTTCTTTCTTAATGCGTCATATACTGATTTCATAGTAGATAATGGAGGATAGGGTAGATAGGGCTCTTCCTTCATGGGTCATATATTGATAAGCATATACACATACTACTGCATAGGGACGCTGGGCCCGATTCCCAGCTGATCCACAACACATTGTTTAGTGGCGCTGGACCTGATTGTTCTGATCTCCAGCTTACACACATCACATCAAAAGCTAGGGTTTCGTATTCTGGTCTGATAGATAGGATTAGGCTTGATTCCTTAGTTCGTGTTTGAGAAATCGTGGATCAGATGGACAGGGTTTTCCCATCATCTGACATACATTGATTAATGAACATACATAGGTACTAGGTGATATCAACACAACTCTGTATAGGGACGCTGGACCCAATTTCCAGCTGATACATTCACATCATTGTACAGGGATGCTGGACCCGATTTCCAGCAGGTGCAGCTCCCCACCAATAGATGGAGCCTTCGACAATGGGGCCTACTTACTGGGGATGCTCTTACC